AATAAAGAATAAGCATATTGAAAGATTGTAAGAACGGAGTTGATTGTTCTTACACTTTTGAGCTCTGATTTGGAAGCACGTCCGTGCTCATCACATACACAGCCGTGCATTGAGTCGCAGTTGTGAGAGAAAGCTTTATATCATAAGCATGTGCATGCTCAAGATTTCAGCATGGTCGTGCTCCCTCACTCGAAGCCGTCGCGTCAAGAATTATCAGGGAACCTCTTTCCTTTTTATTCAATTGCCCTCTTTACATGCTTTTAAGTTAATTGCTTTCAAACATTGAGGACAATGTTTCGCTTTAAGTATGGGGGAGTAGTTCTTAATTATATGATTGTTATTTGCATGTTACTGAGTAAAGTGCCTATACTATTTTTATGATAATTTAAAACTTTTTCCCTCATGGAACCCAATTTTTTCCAGATAGAAGAGCATGTTTAGTGATTATTATTGGTATTATACTTTCATTTGGAAACTAATAATTAGCTAGGTTCCTTACTTTTATGCTCTACATTAAACTTTAACTAACAGATGTGAGTTTTGAGCCTTAAAGGAGATTTCTATCTTAATTTAATTAATTGTACCCCTTTCCTCATTGTTTTGTGTGATTATCTCCTTAAGATTTGTGCTCTAGAACTTGACTTGGAATCGACTTAAGACTTCTCTTTTTAATTGCATGTTTTTAATATGATTGAGGCATAATAAGATTTTTATTCTTAGCCTTCAGCATGTTTGAGATACAACTAGTTGTCCACTTTGAGCTTTATTAATTTTCTTGGTCTCTTGCATTAAATCTATAAAAATATTTTGATGACCTTGAGTTTATGAATGGAGCAATTGAGTTGTTGAATTGTTTGATAAATTCTCCTATATATATCTCATGTGCAAAAAGAAAGAAAGAAAGTATGAAAAAAAAAAAGAAAAAAGGTTATATATGACTGAAAAAAGAGAAGAGTAAAGATATTGTTCACATACAAAAATATAAAAATTACTCTAAGAGCTTCATTTGTAAACTTAGGGGATGTTTATAATTTTTATAATTTATTACCCCTTTGTATATTCCCTTTCTGCCAATTATCTCACCTCAATTATTATAACCCCTTGTCCACATTATAACCTGAAAAAGACCTCATGATTTTTACTTCCATTTAATTTATATAGTAGAGAGTCAGTTTATAGTCAAGCCTATGGTAGTACACTCTTCTTTAGGAGAATTGAGCGATATCTTATTTTGTCCCCTAGTGAGAGAGGAAAGTAGAGTACCCCAGTTTGATGTTTAAGTGAAAAATATGGAAATATAAGATTCTAATTGTTAATCCTTTTGATTGCTTATGCTCAGTGATATCACTCTTGTTGCTTTCTTTATCTCCTCATCTCGGGTTCCTTGTGTGGTATTATGTTTTAAGTTATTATGTTACTCTTAGCTAGCATTTTGCTTGAGGACAAGCAAATAGGTAAGTATGGGGAAGTTGAAAAGTCTATATTTAGGCCTTCTTTTACAGCCCATATATCCATATTTGATCTTTATTTTATTTTGGTTTTACACTAATTTATATATTAATTGTGCAGTTTGGTATAAAGAGGCCGCAAGTGGATTTTGGGCCCAAATTGATAGAAGATTAGAGTTTCGCAGCAGCCAGCACGCCCAGACCCTTCCAACAAGCACGGAAGTGCTTTGAGCCCATGCACGACCGTGCTTAAGGCCTTGCACGGCCATGCTCATCTACGGAAAACCTAATTATGAAGAGTTTGTAGGGTTTTCAAATCCTATAAAAGGGAAGATCTCAGACACCATTTTAGACCAGTTTTTGACATCTTGGCTTTGACTCTAGAATACATCTGATCTCGTCTCTCTTGCACGGGATCCTTGGCACATGCTTGGCGAGACTTAGAGCTTCGAGCGATCGTACTTGAAGACTGGGAACTCATCTCATTCTAGTTTGCTTTTGATTATGGCTTTGTTTATGATTGTTTTAATTATTTTCTTTAGCATGAGTAACTAAGTCCATAGCTAGGGCTATGGAAACTATTGTTCATGAATTTATGGAATTTTGATGTTTAAATCTAAATTTGATTTCCGTTTTGTAATTAGATTTTATCTTATTGCGCTCCTTTCTTAATCCTAATTAATTATATCGTCAAGCGACCGTACCTCGGTTAATTAATAGATCTATAGTGTATTCCTTACTTTTAGTTTTATAATTGATTTTATAAATTCTTGTTTTTAATTAATCTCGTATCTTTGAAGTTTAAACAATTAAATTAAAAAATTCTTAGTAATTGAAAATTAATCCTTGTGGGACGATATTTTGGAAACTTAATTTAAGAACCCTTTATTACTTCTCGATGGTACACTTGCCCTCCGCTGCTCCAAATTTTCCTCCCATTTTCAAATTACTGACAAAAAAATTTATCTATAATTTTTGCCTATATTATTTTGTACCAAATGGCAAACAAACTACAAACGACCGTTACAGATAAATTTTTATCTATCTATATTACTGACAGATGTAATGACTATCTGTAATAGCCGTCTGTAAATGATGCTTTTCTGGTAGTGAATATTTTTATAAGTAATGATGATTAGTTTTAAGAGGACTTGTGTGTCCATTCACTTAGACTATGACAAATATAAGTCGGTCCAAAACTCAATTGAAATTTTAGAATTCAACTAAAATGCTTTGTGAATGTAACAAATTTATATTATAATTTGATGGATCATTATTATATTATTTAATAATTTGATATTTAATGTGTTGATAACTTACATTATTATGCATCAAAATAAAACTATGCGATAAAGTGAGATAGAATAAATAAAAATTATCAAAATATTTATGTATCAAGAAGTAATGTACCAACTTTGATAATTAAAGAAAAATGTGTAAATGATATATATAAGAATGTGTTTGTACATGCAACTTAATTAAAAAAGTTAATAATTTTTAAAATTCATACCATAAATTTAATTTAAAAAGTTCTTAGAATAAACTGAAAAAAAATATTTTGATAAAATACACAATTTTATTGAAATATGTTCAAAATTTTAATAAAAGCTATAAAATATTTTCATAAATTGTTTATAAATTCTTTGAAACAAACTGTAAATCAAGATGATAAAATGAGTGTTTTGAAAGAATTTATGAAAATAATATATAATCTGTATTTTTTAAAGTTAACTTCAATTAATTTTTTAATATATATTATTAAAATAAATTCATTTTAATTTATTGTGATAAAATTTATAATTGAATTTAAGATATAAAACTTCTGTAGTAAAAATTTATTGTATAAATACTTAATTAAACTACTTATCTAAATGCATTCAAAGTGTATATGTATTACATTTGAATAAGAATTGATCTAATAATCAAACAATTTGATTATAGTTTTAAATTTTTTAAAAATTATATTTTTCCTATTTTTTAAATTAGAAAACGTGATAAGAATAAAATGAACCTAATTTATTTTTAAAAAATTAGTTTAAAAGAAGAGCATTGTCAATATATTTCTTTTACATTTAAAAGTAGATATTTGGTGTGCAAAGTTTATCAGACAAGACATTTGTGAGTGGTCTAATATTAAGATTAAATAGGTTCTAATATCATGTTAAAAATAAATCATTTGATAATAGTTGTTAAATGTATAAACAAAATAATTAATTTGATAATATGCGAGACCAAATTAATTCATGTTGCTCCATTCAAAAACTAATTTATTTTTTTTGTAATATTAGGAAATAAATTGATGAATAGCATTAAATTTAGAGATTGAATTGATATTATATTTGATAAGATTGTAAAAAAAGAAAGCAGACAGCTTCAATCCTTAAAATTTCAGGGTGACTTGATTTTTGTGTTAATGAATATCAGTTTCAAAGTGGAGGAAAACAAAAAGGGAAAGATTTTCATAGCAGGCAGCATCCATACACACTATTTCTTTCAATGAGCAGCTCTAGATGAGAATGGTTGTTTGTAATAGCCAACTATTGCCATTATATAGGGTTTAACTACACGGACCCTACACACCAGTTTCACTGAATAATGACATATTAAGATACAGATAACAAGGAAATCCTTTTTCATAAATTCCATTGATTCAATACGGACTAGTCCTTTTCATGAAAAAGCTTTGCCTATCACTTATACTGTATAACACTAAGGCGAATAGTTGAAAATGATAGTAAGTCACAAATTATTATATGTTGTTGGCAAAGTCCTTAATTACAAGATGTTAACTTCCAAGGTCCCTGTAACATGACCTTTAGATGTGACTGATTTTTCCAAAATTTTGTATACTATGAACTGCATTTGAGTTTAATTAAGCCTCTTCTACCATGATTCATTTTTTTAGCATTTTTAGTATTTTTCAAAAAACTTAACAGCTAGCTAGAATCATTATGTAAACTTACTGGTTTCTGTTAATAAAAAGTTACAGCTAGCTAGAATCATTATATAAACTTTTTTTTTTTTTCATTTAAAGCTGTATTCCAACATGATTTTTCAGTTTTTACCACTAATACATTCAAGTTGTAGCAGTCCCTTTTTTTTTTGCCTTCCTGATTTGTTACAGCAGCCAAGTGTCCATAGCCATTAATTTTTGCTTTCAAAACTTGTGGGCTACTTGCAATGTGTAACACTATCCACACACGTCTAAAATGCCCCATTATTGTCATTTTTTGTCGCATAGCACCAAGTTATTTATTATCTTTATTGAGGGTCTATGTCAATATTCCTAGCTTTTCCACCTTATAAAATAAAAAGTATAAGCCATTTTTCTAAGCAGATATGTCTGCGTACTCTCATCGTACAAATTAAGCGCACTAACAAATGTTTATAGCATTAAAATATTATTCTTGAAATCTTCAATCAGGTGCTTTCTCTTGCTACCTCTCTCTATAAATACACATAGAAGGTGGCTAGAAGGACCAAAATAAGTAACAGCATCTTTGTTCCTTGTTACTCAATTCCTTCAGAGGATACAACCTAGTTCAAGGAGATATGGCATCACCAAACACAAACCTAGAGAAAAAAGGGGTATTTGGTAGAGCATGGGAACGGTTAAAGGCCTTGCCTAAAGCTCTTAAGGAGAAGGTATTGGGTATTTGTAGGTTGACAAAAGAGATAGCCCAAGATGACCCTAGAAAAGTGATTCATTCACTAAAAGTGGGGCTTGCAATCTCCCTGGTTTCTCTATTCTATTACTATCAACCTCTATATGAGAATTTTGGCCTTTCAGCAATGTGGGCTGTGATGACTGTGGTGGTGGTTTTTGAATACACAGTTGGTAAGTTTCTGCATATTATAATTAATGATCATACTATGTTACTAACCCATGTTTGTTTTGTATATTTATGTATGCCTTTGTTGTACTAACTAACTAATATATTATATATATGTGACACATTTTTAGGAGCCACTCTAGGCAAAGGTTTGAATAGGACAATTGCAACGCTGGCGGCTGGTGCGCTTGGTGTTGCAGCTCATTACTTAGCTAGCCTATCTGGAGATACAGGGGAACCCATATTGATTGGCGTGTTTGTCTTCATACAAGGTGAAAAACAAAGCTACCAAATAAGTAAAATAAATAATAATCAAAGACTTATTAACAAGTAGTTTAAAAAAGTTAATTAAGGAATCAATAAATAAAAAATATTATTAAATTTAGGTGTCTTGTTGACATTAAAATTAATTAATATAGACACTGATCAACGTTTGCATAACAATAACATCAACTTAAGAAACTCTAGCTATTTTCAATTCATTTTCATTGATTTTGTAAATTATATAATGATTTTAATCCTTTTTTTTTTATGCAGCTGCTATAGCATCATTTATAAGATTTTTTCCGAAAGTGAAGGCAAGATATGACTACGGGATGCTTATATTTATCTTGACATTCTCTTTGATATCTGTATCTGGGTTTCGAGATGATGAAGTACTATTAATGGCACACAAGAGGCTATCAACCATTTTTATAGGGGGTTCGGCTTGTGTGATGATTTCCATTTTTGTTTGTCCTGTGTGGGCCGGTGAAGAGTTCCACTATTCAATTGCTAACAAGTTAGAAATACTTGGAGACTTCTTAGAAGGTTAGATTTAACAAAATAAATGTACGAAATAAAGTCATGAATTAATTACATTTACCGAAGCAAAAAGTTACTATAAATCAATACCTTATATAATACCAATAAATGGAAAAAAAATAATTATCTTTTCTTGTAAATTGTTATTGAGACTTAAGTCATAATAATTTGATATATTTTACAGCGTTTGTACGTGAATACTTCAAAATATCAAAAGAAGGGGAATCTATAGACAACAAAGATGGAGATTCTGAAGACAAGAAGTCGTTTTTAGAAGGTTACAAAAAGGTTCTCAATTCTAAAAGTAGTGATGACTCTCTGGTGAGTGCAAGTTGCTGCTTTGTGTTCCCTCGCTTCTTTCCTTATATGAAAATCTCATGCACATGTCTCATGTAATTTTCTTCACTATGCAGGCCAATTTTGCAAGGTGGGAACCAGGTCATGGCAAGTTTAAATTTCGTCATCCTTGGAACCTATACCTCAACATTGGTGGCCTTTCTCGCCAATGTGCATATCGAATGGAAGCCCTTAATGCACACCTCAATTCTGATATCCAAGTATATATCATCAATCTAATAATATATATACATGCATGCATGCCAAATATATAAAATGAAAATATACAAATATTTCATAGTTAAAATCTTATGATAAAGAAACACTTAATGTAATTTAAAAAAAAAAAACTACTTAAATTTTTAAAGTGTGTGACTTTAAACTTTTTTTTAAAAAATTTTAATCATTTATATATAGCTGTATGATTGAGATTTATCTTTGTCATATTGAAAAAATATTTTCACAAGATATATCTTTTGTGTATATATATATCCCACACATCTTAGATTTGAGTAAAATATCATTAAATAATTAGTTATTATATTTTTACACATTTTCTGTATATCTATTTTCTATCTTACTTTTTATTTTATTTTATCTTCTCTCTTTTTTTTTTTTCATTCATACACCATTTGATTTGATGAGTGTAATGATAATTTTTTTAAAACATTTTTTTTTGTCTAGATGAAAACAAATAAAAACATTTTTGTTGACAAAAGTAGTTGGAATTTCAACCCTTACCATCTTTATTCTTTTAACCAAATGAGTTTGCATGCATTGGAAAATAAACTTTATTATGGACTATGATTATATCGACACTGATTTTACCTATTGGAACCCTTGTAGGGATCCCAAGAAATTCGTTTTACAGTCCAAGAGCTCTGCTCAAAAATGTGTTTGGAATCTAGCAAAGCTTTGAAGGAACTAGGATCATCAATCAGGGCAATGACCAAGCCATCCTCTTCTGATATTAATCTTGCAAACGCAAAAGATGCAGTCAAGAACCTCAAGTCATTGCTCCAATCAAGCTTATGGAAAGAAACAGACCTTTTATCAATTATTCCAGTTGTGACAGTGGCTTCACTATTAATTGATATTGTGGATTTCACAGAGAAAATAGCAGATTCGGTTAATGATCTTGCCAACCTCACACATTTTGATACTGTAGATACAGATAAATACCCCAAAACATCACAATCTTCACAATGTGAATGTGTTGAATCGGGTCCCAAAAGTGATAACCTCCAACTCGTTATTCTAGTTGAGGAATCAGCACTAGTTGTGTCAGATAGTGAAAAATCAACATCTGATGAACATAACATAGTTTGATGATTGATTTAAGTGTATAGGAATGAAATAATCATGTCCTCAACATTGGACAAAACTAATTAACCTTATGTTGCTTAGACCGTGAAGAGTGCCTTAACTACAATAATGCCAATTCTGTATTCTTAATTTCGATTGATTTGTGATGATCATTCTGAATTTCTTATTTTAATATCCTCATGTGAGGTTAATGTAATGTTAATTAGCAATTCTTTCGAATTGTTTTTTGTACTCTAAATTTGGATGGTTGGCCATCATCTCTCAATTCTCTTGTTCACAAACACCTTACATTAGAGCAGACAATATTGTCAACAAACGAATGAAGAACCAAAGAATAATTTGAGTTACTTAAATGGATCAAAAGCTCAAGCAACATTTTAACGCGTGACCCTGGAAATCAAAACATAAATAATCGAGGCATATAAATTCATGATATTGTTAATCCACAAATGAAAGGTACGGAACGTGATAACCATGGAAAAACTATTAAGTTATCATAATTAGAAACTTGATTTGATTAATCACTTATCATGATTATTCCCTCTGAAAGCCGTGAGGATTATTTTAATTGTGCCTACATGCACATAGATAGCTGTGGCACATGTTCGGTTGCTTTTTCTTTTGGGTGGAAAGAAAGTGGAGTTATTTTAGTGGGTTGATGCTTTTCACCAGCCCATTATTTATTTCAATGAAAAGATTATTCGAATTAACCTTCAACCCCCCTATATACCCCAACCATGATGAAGGTTATCTAGTCTACCAGTTATTGCGATGATCAACATTATTGTTCATATCAAAGGTCTATGTAATGGTGCATCATGAGATATATGGAACTATTCTAGAGTTTTCAAAAATATCTGCAGCAAAATTTCTCAACCTTAAAATTTAAAAACTAACAATTATTATCTGGCCTACTTCTACCAACTGAAATTAATTCAATAACGTATATCTGAAGGTTTTGATTTTATAAAATTTCACACAAAACGAAGTACTTTATTATATCATTTTTTTAACAGATAATATACTTTTGAAATATAAAAAATATCAAATTTTAATTCATACCTATAAATTATGTGAAATTTAATATACATGAAAAGAGAAATAGAATAAAAATAATATATTATTTGAATGAATAAATTTTTTAATAAAGTTATCTTTTATTCGTGATAAAAAAAAATTGTTAATATGTTTTTCTGCCATAATTGTTGAGCTCTATTTCTGTATCTCATAGTTAAGAGATCCACTGACGCCATTTGCATGAATGGGAAGGATACACGAGCAAGGAATTGTCCAGAGACTTCAGATGTTTGGTGTACGGACATGACAAAGTCATAGATAGCAATGCTATTCGACAACATCATAAAGCCATTGCAAGCACAAAAAGAGACATTGACTTTAGACCCATCACATTCACGCCTCACTTGTGAAGAAAATTTTAGAAATTTTAACTAGCCCATCAAGTAAAATTTTCTTTCCATCCTCAACCAAACAGTTTTAAATTTCTATTTGTATCTTATTTCACTTTTTTAATTCTTTTCCTCCTATTTTAATCAAATCAAATATAATTATATAATTAATATTTTTTAATAAATAAAGCCATCATTGATTGTTTCTAAAGAAGCAAAAAATAGCTGGTTACTTTACACGTCATTAGTCAATGGGGGCTGTTATTTTAATATTTTGTGACCAGGATCAGTGAGGATATAAATTATGAAATTTAACTGAAATATATTGACTTGTATAATTTTTTATATTATTATCTAATCATAAATTAATATATAATTAAAACATTTTATTTTTATAATAAATATTTTTAAATATATTAAAATATTTTGTAATTGATTAATATTGTAAACTTTTTACATTAATAATACATCAAAATTAATCTCTATATATATTATAATAAATACTTTTATCATTAAAAATTAATTACTACATTCTATAATAATAAAAAAATATATGTTTTAATAAAAGTTTATATTCAGAACTAATTTTAATGCATATCTAAATAATATTTAATGATTTAAATTAATTTTGTTAGTTTTAAATTTCAAATGTACTTTTAAAGACAAAGTGGGTTCAGACTATAATCACGGCAAGATGAACGTGCTTAAGTGCGTAAAAAGCAGAAACAATGCAAAACAAAAAGTGGGCTTTGAGTTGTCTTCCACTATAATTCTACTGCTACAGGTTATTAAAAAAAGCGCCTTATTTGAAACCAAATGTGGAGAAAAATTATGATCTCTTTTGATTTGTTATAGCATATATCACTTTTGTTTATAAATAATCTACTACACTTATCACATCTTAGATTCTAGAACATGCCCATTTTTGTCTACTCAAGCAACATAAAGAGTATGAACTGTTTATACCTTTTTTTTCATGTAATTAAAACTTCACACTTATATTCTAAGTGATTGATTTGATAAATAGCGTATATGTAATTGAACAGCTTATATGGGTTATATAAGTTCTGAATTTTTAGCATTAGTAGAACATTATAGCACTAATAGTCGTAGTTAAACCATGTTAAATATATGGTCAAATTTAGTAACAAACTGTAAAAAAATAATCCCTGGTGTCTTTAAAAATGATTTAAAGCTTATAAGATTTGTGTGAAAGATCGGGAGTAGAAGGGGGTTTTTTTTTATTGTGAATTATTGAAACTGTTGAATTATTACGAAAAATAAAGGAATAGAATCAAGAATTTATAAAATTATTACAATATAAAAGCAATAGAAGAACAAAGTGAAATGACAGTATGCATACGAAAGAACTTCATACAAGAACATAAATAAGAACAAAACACAAAGTAGGACAACATGGGATCATGCTTTGTGCTTGTTGCATGTTGCCTTGTTGGGTCATGGATATTGTCCCACCATTTTAGGCCATTCCTTCCCAACCCTAACCTACCTTCCTTTCATTTCGTTGTTTTTATATTAATTTTAATCATATTAAAAGTTTACACACACAAATTATATTGTTTTGGAGTGGAATCCCATTCAACTTAGATATTGATTTGAGGTGATAGTCTCGAGTGATATTGACAATTGTAGGATGGTTGATCAGCGGCAAAAAAGTATTCTTATAAGAAATAGTTAATTTAATCTTAAAGTGAGAGACAGGTTTTGTATAATAAGGCTGTGATTTGATTATATATTTTTGAAAAGTTTGATTTCTTTTGTTTATAAGCGTAATATGGTAATATGGTGTAATATTGGGTAAGGTTCACTTTATGAACTACATAATATACGTATATTAAGATTATTGTTTAAATAATAATAAAATTATATTTATTTTAACAAATTAATTATAATTTTTTTGTTAATTCTAGATTTATAAATTTTTTTAACATGTATATATATAATGTAAAGCAACTTGGAAGAGTGATTATTTCAATATATATTTTGACTTTGGCGTCAGCAACGAACAACAAAACACAGTGAATTTGAGAGTACTGTAAAAAGGCACCGTACCGCATTCGAAGCAAAGTACAAAATGAAATCGAATGCATCTCCAAACCCAAAGTGGTTTCCCACGTCATCGTGCTTTACTTTTGTTATTTATAATATTAGCTTTTAAAATTATTAAATTAATATATTTTAATATTATTAAAATTTATAAATTTTAAAATTTACTTATTTATTTATTTATTTATTTTATCAGGTATATATTCGAAAATTTGTTATAATGATTTTTCTTAAAAAAAGGTGAAGTCAGTAAAGGGCAGCTCTACATTTAATAACAAATTATCGTTATATGTTTCTGTCGACTAATTTTACCGTAAACGTTGTCTTGCATTAAAAATTAAAATATGTTTATAAAAATTTCGATCGACTTAATTATGAAATTAACGTTTTAATATGTGTTCCATAACTCTAAACAATAGTGCTGTGATACAAGAATTGAAAAAAATATTTAACTTTATTAAAATATTTTTATTATATCTATTAATAAATAAATTTAAAAAATTAAGTTTTAACATAGATCTTATAGTAAAACTAGAAAAAATAATTTTACTTTTAAATTTTAAAATGACTATTATTTTAAAAAACAAAATTTGCTAAAGATACTATTTTTTAAGACAGAAAAAGTTGTTAAAAATATTAATATATCTTATTAAATATTTTAAATTATCATAAAAAGATATAATTAATATTATTATTTTAATAAAAAATTACTTTTAATTTATTAACACGTGACTTTAAACACACATTAAAAAAATTGAATATAAATGATATCATTGTCAGTATTGTTGTATTTCACATTATAGAAAAATATTTTGCATATTATTTGGAGAATATTTTATAGTTTATATGTATTTCTAATATGTGTGTATATATATCTAGATAAAAAATGAAAAAATAATTATATATAATATTATATATGATATAATTTTTTAATTATTTAAATAATACAACTATTACATAATTATTGTATAAGAAGATTTACTTGAATTCAATAAATGTTTTTAATAATCTCGAAGTAATGAACACATACATGTAAGCAAATTATTCATTCCAGTAAAATTGTATAGATAATCTAAGATTTAATTAATAGTTTAACCCTCTCATATGAATTCATTTATAAGCACGTTTAAACTTAAGTTAATCATGTTCAAGTAGATTGTTATAAGTTTAATTTAACTTGGATCAAGTTTTGATGATTTTTTTAGTGATTACTAACATTATTTGGTTATTTTGTCCAATTAAATGTGTTATTTTCACTATATCAATTTTTATTATTTCATTTAACTTGAGATTTAAATAAAATATAATTTTAAAATACAAAGCTTTAATACTTCAAGTTTGCTCCAAAGCAGTCTTAATTTCCATTCATCAATATTACACCACTTTGCTAGCTAAGCTTTTAACAAAAGATAATAAGAATTTATTAATTTAATTTTAAAATATATTAATGTGTAAATTAAAGAAATAAAAACTGTTAAATAAAATAAAATAATTTTATTATCTTAAAATATTAAAAATATTGAATTAATTAAGTTAAATAATCTATTTATTTTTAAAAATATATTAGTAATAAATCTTATATAACACGTTTTATTTTTGGTTTATTAATCAAATAACTTATTGAATCTTTTAATTAAGAACAATTATGTTGGGTTTTCCACAAAAGTTAGGTTCTTATGTGGACCTTAATTAGATGAGGTTGGAAATTAAGAAAAAAAATGTTATAATAATCAACAATGCCTTGTAGTCAACAACATAGTTATATTAATCCCAAGTTGAAATAAATTAGGGGAGTGATGAGGCACTGAGGCATGATGTGTGGTGCAAAATCAGAGTGTAAATATTTCCTTTGCCACTAATTGTTAAGTGCGCAGACCAAATAAACACAACAACTATAAAAGCATGCAACAGTCATAATAGGATACAAAGCAGAGGGAAAATAATATATAAAAATAAATGGGGAAGACCAAGAATCACATAAAGTAGTTCTGTTCAACTTTATAATTCTACGTTAATTTAAATATTTTTATATTATTAATTATTTTAAATGTAAGTTTTAAATTTGAAAATATTTTTTAGTTTCAAATTGTTTTAAACATATATAAGATACAAAGGTGAAAAGTATAACACATTTTGTCATCCCATTCAGTAATAAAAATAATTAGGCAAATTCTAAGGCACTTTTACTATTTGTCAATTGTCAATATTGATAGGTGCATAATATATGTCTGTATCATTATTTAACACGGTATTGTTTTTATTTAGTCATAAAATATTACACATACGTAATTTACAAAAATTATTTTATTTTTTTAAAATTAAATTCTTTAATGTCATAGTAATTTAAAATAGTAACTCAGCAATTATTAAAAAGATTAGAAAAAACAATGAAATAATATTTAACCAGACAAAGTAATAGATTATATAATATAGATAAATTATAGAAGTCATTATATTTTAATATTTTCATTATTTTGAAAATAAATTATTTTTTAATAAATTCATATTTATTTATAATTTTTATAATTATAAAATAATCTAAAAACTGTGAATAGAACACTATAATGCATGTCATATTTTATATAAGACTCAATTTATACTTGATTCTAAGCTATGCAATGCTCCAATCATTAAGGTTATTAACAAAGATAATTCTAAAGTCTGTAATTGTAAATTTAAACTTACGTCAAAATATAAAGGCGTTGTGAATGCATATAACACACAAATTCAGCATGCACTTTTAATAAATTTATGGGGCTTCAGGCTTGAACTTTGCTAACCCGATACAGATAGGGAAGCCCATTTCTTCAGGTCTTAGTATGTTCCATGGCTTTGGGTCCATAAAGGTGGCCCATAAAAAAGTTTTGGATTGGATTGGAAGCCCAAAACAGTGAGATACCTTCCTGTTTAGAATCTGACTGGGACTAGCTGCGTTAGCACCTAAGCAACAAGCATCCATATGCAATAGTAAGCTAGGTAGGAACAAATATACGATGAACAGTTTAAACTACTCTTGCAACTTATTGACATGAATTAAAAACAATTTTATTAATATTAATTCTTACAAAATCTTTTAAGCATTTAAAATATTAATTTTCATAAAAAAAAAATAGTTTACATTTATGCTCTCAATGTTAACATTTTTCATGAAAGAAAATAAAATGTTACTACAAAAAAAATGACAAGCCAGAAGGCTCCTGCATTAGAAGCAGACACAAAAGCACAACTAAGATGATAGTCAACTATGTGTTGGGCTTGTTTGTTGATATTATTGGGCTTGCCTGAAAATGGGTCAACCTAAATTGCAATAGGCCCAACGCACCTAATCACTTTGGAGAATCCACCAAGGCCCATAGTTCCTCCAAATATGTTGTCAAATCAATCCTGCTTATTTTTAAAACTTTGAAATTTCATAATTATTCATAAATAAATTATACTATAATTTAAGTAAATTATTTTCACTCACTTTCTATTATGTACTTTTTATGTCTTTTTTAACTTTTGCAAAATCTAATGTTATAAATTAATTAAACTCAAAATCTTAATTTTTGTATAAAATTAAGTGAAGTACTCTCATTATACAAAGTTTCTTCAATCTCTTTTAAACGTTCCACAAACTCTTTATTTTTTATAAATACTTTGTAATTGAATCGCTTAGCGATGGTAAAAATTTGAAATTATCAAATACTTAAATAATAAAAAGTTTTAACATAATTTTAGAAAAATATAAGAGAATTAATAATAAATAAATTTGTGGATTCATATCCTTAAAATAACAGGGATTATGTTTTTATTGAACTTTTTATTGCAATAATTTTAAAATAGTTCATATTATTTTGGAGTTATCAATCTATAGTTTATTTTATTGGCTATTCTCTTATGTTGCTCTAGTGTTATTTAAAAATGTTTGTCATTTAAATATTTAATAATTTCAAATTTTTTCTGCAATAAAGGAATTCAATTGTGATGTATTTATAAAATGCAAAGGAATTTGAATAATATTTAAGAAATAGAAGGAGTTTTGCAATGAGACAATTTAAAATAAAAAAATATGAAATGATAGATTACCATAAACTTAATATATTGATTATTTCCTTTTTATCATAAATAATATATAATTATATTAATTTTAAAAAGATTCCCTTCCCTTTGTTTTTTTTAAAAAAAAAAGCCCTCTCCCAACATCCCCTACTAGAAAATCAAAAGCCGGAAAGTGTCAGCAAATGTCCAATTTATAGTAATTTTTTTTATTGTTTTACCAAATTTTAATTGACCGTGGAGAAAACAAAATGAGGAGTAAAGCGAAGATTTTAAGAAATTATAAAAACCAAAGTAAATATCCAAAAAATGCATTGTAACACTTGTATATTAATATGCCGCTTTCTGCTCCAATCCCATATAAATTATACTACCTCGAGACAACACTGACAACATCAACATCATTAATAAATATTACAGATACATTGGAATTCCTTGAAAACAAAATGAAAGAAAACACATAATCAACTTACACATGCACAACAATGACTAAACAAAAAGAGTTTACATCCTATATACACACCACACCACTGTGAAATTAAGATTTTTTAACATTAGGTTCGAGTCCTAATTCCTTTCTCGTTTTCCCCACAAATAAATCCCCTGATTTGATCATGCCAGGAAACCTTCCAATGATCGTCATGAATGGGAATTGTGCAACCCCATGTTTCCTTCCCAGTGAAACAATAGATATTGGTGGTTGTGCCTTGTATGTTCCCAATTTACGCTCTTTGCCTCCTCCCTCTATCAACAGCTTCAGGTTTTTGGCAACCAATTGAGCATGACCTTGTGCGTACACCCCTTGTTTGATTTCCTATAGCAAAAATTTCACATCAACCAATTCAGGATTGCTTGCACAGAGACTTATAAAATGTTACATGTTTAATGCATAGAACCAATTTAGTTACATATCAAAGATCCTCATACAGTTAGCAGATTAGCACAATTATAGAAATCTACTAGAGATTATGTACGCATTGACATTGTAATATAAATACAGTCAAATAAAAAAATGCTGTGAAACCACAACCCAAAACCCTTCAGGGCACAAGAAATTCAATGATGTGATGCAATATGAATATGCCAAATAGAATTAGTGAGAAATTAATGGATTTGCTTCAATCATGTTAGCTAAGATGTTAGGCTTGTTTATTAGCAAATTGATACAAAACTTCTTATTGTTTGCAAGCCTCTCCTTTCATTAGTCAGAAAAATCACATAGCATGATTCATTAGCCTAGTTGATACCCAGTTAACAACTGTTGACTGCAGCACATGTGCATATGATAGGATGTGGAGGGAAAACTAAGGCAGGGTAACTTGTTGAATTTGTCATAAATGATATGATTAGGTAGAAATATATATTATTATCCTAGGAAAAGCCAAAATGGGTTGGTTTTGGTTTGGTTAGCACTTACTTGAACATCTGTAATATCTCCAATTGCAAAAATGTTGCTCCTACCCTTCACTCTCAAGTGTTCATCAACCTCGATCCTTCCATCAGCATTCAAGTCATCCTTTAAAAATGTCTCTCTAAGCCATGCTGAACCAAGTGGTTTCCCTATGCATAGAAAATAAGCATCTGCTTCTATAGTGTCACCAAGTGAAGTTTGATATGTCCGATTTTCTTCATTAGTGGAGTTCAACTCAACCGATTGCTCTAGTTTCACGTCAACTTTCTTTGATTTAAGCCACTTCAAAGTCTTCCTTGAAGCTTTTGGCCCAATATATTCCAACAACCTTGATCCTTTATGCACTATAGTGACCTTCTTATCAGGAAAATCAACAGCAATTTCTGCTGCAAGCTCAACACCAGTTGGACCTCCCCCAACAATCAAAATTGAACCTGCAGACTTTATCTTTGTATTTTCTGCCAGTGAAATAGACACTATTAGAAATATATAATTATAGTAATGCTGTAAAATAAGGAAGGTTACATCTTTATAATTACAGTAATTAAGTAATTGAATATTCTTATATTTAATTTGTGTACTACTGATTTCTATCATAAATATATATTTTATCGGGTAGTTTAAGCGATTCATCTTATGTCTCTCGTTTCTCTTCCTTCTCAACGGACACATTGAAAATCATTCACATAACATTATTCACAACAGGCCATAGCAATTTATTATATGGTGAAACTTTGACTAAAAATACACTACCAACCTCTTGTAACCAAGAGCTTAGGACTATTATATTCAAACCTCCCAAACCACCATCTAGAGTTCATTAGTTTGGATTTAGATATTTCTTTCTTCGATTTCATTTTTCCACCTCTCAATAATAAAGACTTTGAAGAGTTAATTATCCTCAACTTCAAATATTTACCTCCTTTGTATTGGTCAAGTCTTTCACTCCTGGTTTTTGGTATATGTTCTGTGTGGCCGGTGGCAATAACAAGGTAGTCGTAGGGAATCTGACTACCATCTGCAGTGAAGACTTCAGTTTCAGTTATGTTGACAGCACTTGATATAACAAGGTCACCTTTTTTGAAGTACTCTCTATGGTTGATCACTATCCTTTCAGCGAAGGATGGCTCAACCAATCCCCTCAAGCTTGCCCATGGAATCTCAAAATATTCTTTCCTGTGTTCATTAAGTGTCAATCAGTGCAACCATGTCCATAAAAAGTTCTTCTATGTATGCACCGACTCACTCATACATCAGTAATAGGTCATCAAGTATCTCCTAAACAAATTATCACTCTTCATGAAATTGAAAGATGATAAAGCCTACTACTCTCAAATTTTGGAGGCATTTGAAATTGAAAAGGCTTTAAGTTTATTTGAAGCAAAAAAGTCCTATTTCCTATGGTTCTTTTTATAAAAAATAAAAATAATCTATACTTATTTTTTATAAAAAACAAAGAAGTAATATTTTTTAATAAGCTTCAAGGTAAAATTTATTCAAATAAACTTTTTAACTTATTTAAGTAAATTTTACAATTAAGCTAATGAAATAAAACTCGAGTGACAAATATTTGAGTTATTTATCCAAATGTTGTTTGAAACGAACCATAAATACATGTACGCATCATTTAAAATTCAATTAAACATAGAAAAGGGCAAGAATTGAACTACAGAGAGATCATGGTATATACAAAGAGAGAGCTCACGGATCAATAAGGGTGACGTTGGCCTGATTTTGCAAATTTTTTGCAAGGACAGCACCGGCGACACCACCTCCTACGATGACCACTTTCTTCTCCACCATGTTTTATGCTTGTAATTCGTTCACCTTTGATAAGAGTTTGAAGCTAGCTTTGTAATGATTGTTATGTTCTCACAACGAGATAAGGCAACAACATAAATAGAAGTCGTTGCGTCATTGCATGTATCATCAAAGTGGAACGTCAAATTTTGAATTTGGACATAAAAACGACCCAAGCCAAATGGTAACTTCGGTCAACTTGCCACCACCTTAGTCATAATCTGAAAGGGGTGTTACAACTTCTCCACGTCCAATTTCTTAAGGAAAATATTATTGAAATAAATAAAAGGACCCCATAATATAGTATTGGGGAATCATGATGGTGGCATCTTAAAAGGGTACATGTGCCCGCCAGCATTAGATGTAGCTTGCTAGCTTAAAATTCTTAGAGGAAATTATTCAAATATAATGGCTAAAAATAATATTATAATAGAAGATTTTGCTTTTATTTTATTTCATTTTTTTTTCTTTGAAAGGTGTCGCTGAGTTGGAGGCATTGCACTGAATTAGAGTTAGCGCATAGTGATCGAATGCTGACGTCAAATTTCTAGGACCTTCCTAGTACAGTAGAATTTCTTTCATTCAATGACCGTTTCCTAGCTGTGATATTCTAATAGAAAATTAAAAAAATAAGCCTTTGATTTAGTCTTATCCTTTTAGTTTACGATAAGGTTATTATCGTACCCACCCAAAAAAAGAGATACGGTTATATTATTCATTACGTTCATCAGCTTGTGACTAATTGGGTGAAAGTTGACTTTTCTCTTGCATCTAGATGGGTTGGGCTTGGGATTCTTATCCACTTGCGTCTCCTAATTTTTCATTTTTACTGTATATGGTATTTTTTCTTTTTCTTTTTCTTTTTTTTAGGTCAATGTATTTTTCTTCTTGAACTTACAATATAAATACTTAAGGAGAACTAATGACTACAGAACTCAGCTTAGTTGCCTAAAGCTGTAGTTTTGTTCTCTTTCCTTCCTTTACATTTCTCTTCTGAAAATCTGTTTCTTTGATGAAATCAAATACCAAAAGTTTCAGGGTCATCTTGAATGTGTTGGATGTTCTCTTAGTTTCGTCTGGGCAAAGTAATGCCACTATGTTTTAATTTTAGACTTCTAGCGTTTGCTTTTGGGAAAGTTTCCAGATTCTTCTAGACTTAGACTGGCAATTATTCTTATTTTTTAACATTCAGCTTTATAATTATTTTGGCAAATTTTTAGTCTTTAAGCCGATTGTTTTAATTTAGTATTTGATAAAAATCATTCTTGATTACAAGTACTATCCTGCACAAGATTTATACCCTCTCAACATGGACAGTTACTGTTACAAGTTACCTCATGCAAGGCTTGGCTAATTGGATAGAAGACTTGTTATGGTGGGTTGGGTAGTTGGAGTGAGTGATACATTTTCACTTTTAATTTCTTGGCAAGTGGCTTTCTTGATCCTTCTTTCTTCTCAGTTATCCCACCATAATTTAAAATCTAAAACCATTGATCTTCAAACTGATATTCACTTTGAAACTACTGATGAAATTTAAAAGGGGTGAAATAGTTTGAAATAACCAGCTAGGATCCTTCTGTGTTGCAGCCATCTCCAATCTCATTTCTAATACATGCTGAGTCTAATTTTTTTTTAAATACTATATGTACCAACAAGCAAAGCCCCAAACCTTTTCCTACTTAGGAGAAACGTTACATGAATCAAAAGAATATTGTCATGTTCTGTCATGAAACAAGAATTGCGAAAATCCAAGTTATTTTTAACGGTCTCTTGGCCTATCTATCTCTCAACTTGAAATGCACACTTTAGCAAAGTGAACATGACAAGTTTCTCTAGGAAGATAGAAGACTAGGTGATGATGCAAGTTCCTAATATGACAAGATAAAATAACTCAGATTTGGTTTTGGGTGTGCTTGTTCTGTGTAGGATTGCTGAAGCAGATACGTTTGCACCTCGTAGGAAACGAACTTTCCTTCTTTCTCTGTATAATTTTTAACCAGGAGTAAAAGTAGAATATAATATTTAAGTTTATTGCTGATAGTCAATTAATCAGAGCAAGCACATACTTGAAGAAACAATGTCAATGTTTCCCTTTCACTTGTTTTGATCTATTTATGTTTAGTCATTACCATAATTATCAATAGAAAAATTATACATGCTTTTAATATTACAACCTGTTATTCAATACACTTTTTCTAAAATATTATAATTCAATACAGCACGCACAATCCCCTACGCCAGTGAAGTCATCAATCAACATGTTAAATAAAATGCAGTCTCTCAAGTACATGGAATGGATACATACCCATCAACTGTCTTGCGTTTGGTAAGGTTAGGTTGGTAACAGGAACAGGGAAGAAGGGACAAAAGTGACTAGATCTCCGTCTAAATGGTGCAGAAAAGAAAATTTAGATATGTAAGAGAGGCATGTAGTATGTCAAACATTTTCCAAGGAAACCAAGCATCCAATCAATTTTATGAAACCACATATGTCAATGCTAACATCTGCATCCTGCTTCTGCTTCTGCTTCTCACACAGTTACATCTCAAGAAACACCACCACTTATCAGCATATGGATAATTTACATATGGTGCAAATAAATTCTTTTTAGGAAAGAACCAACTGAAAAAAGGCACCAATATACCAATAATGTACATAAACTATGAAACAGATTGATTTTTTATACACATCATGCACGATGTCGAGTCAAGCTTGTATAGGATGAGGGTCGAGTCCCATTTGCTTTCTTGTTTTACCAACAAACAAATCTCCAGACTTGATGAAGCCAGGAACTCTTCCAACGAGTGTGACGAATGGAAGCTGTGCCACTGCATCTTTCCTACCAAGTGAAACTACTGCCATTGCTGAATGTGGTTTGTAAGATTCCATCCTACATTCTCTTCCTCCCTCTATCATCACCTTCAAGTTATTCACAACCACTGCAGCCTGCTGCTGTGCCAAAAACCCTTGCTTGAGTTCCTGTTGTACGGATTTCCATAAAAAAACCTCCAATCAGGTGGCTTGCAAAGTGATTAAAATGCCAGATTCTCAAGAACAATAATGAAAAATATGGACAGGCAATAAAGCCTTCAGTAGCAATGAAATGAGGTAAATATCTCAAATAGAATTGGAGGAATACTAGTTTCATGAGCTTGCTATAATTTGTCGACAAAGCTGAGTTAATTATTCCTATTTAGTAGCAATGAGTACAAGCAATATTGTCATTCATTTTGCATCAATATTTTCATTATCACTAAGTAGAAACTCAATTCTGGCAAAAGCCAAGGCAACAAAGCATGATCTCTCAGTCTAGTTCAAGAGAAATGGACAGAACATCAACTGAATGGCATGTACTATGACCATGAAAAGCAGAATAAAAGTTACTGATGGCAACACTTACTGGAATATCTGTAATATCTCCAATTGCAAAAATGTTGCTCCGACCCTTGACTCTCAGACGGTCATCCACCTTAATCCTTCCCTGAACATCCAAGTCATTCTTCAACACAGTTTCCTTAAGCCATGCTGAAGAAAGCGGTTTCCCTATGCATAAGAAATAACAATCTGCCTCAATGGTCTCTCCGTGTGAAGTTTGATATATCTTCCGTCCATCTGTGGCAGCGTTTAAGTCAACTGATTGCTCTAGTTTTACTGTGACATTCCTTGATGTCAACCATTTTAGAGTCTTATCAGCAGCTTTTGCCCCAATGAATTCCAGTAACCTTGATCCTTTGTGCACTAGGGTAATCTTCTTATTTGGAAAATCAACGGCTATCTCTCCAGCAAGTTCCACGCCAGTGGGGCCTCCTCCAACAATCAAAATGGAACTGGCAGATTTTATCTTTTGATTTTCTGCAGAGAAAATGAACTTCATAACCCATGTACCAACTGACAATTCATCACATGGTTGAACCTATTCTTGAAAAATGTTTCCTAAACATTATGCTAAAATGAGTAATGTCAACCAACACAAGGTTCAATTGAAAAGAAAATAATACTGCAAAATAATCCCAGACAGTTCTAAACAAGTCCAATCACAACCAAAAAACTCAGAACTCAATCAGTTTTGTCTTCTTATACTTCCATGGTCATACCAAAGCCCCATGGTCTTTTCGTTTTTCAAGGAATGCTAGTAAAACACGCAGCTACATTCTCTTTCCAACACAATTTTAATCATTCATTGAAATTTATCAAGAGTTCCTATCAAATTATGAGTAGGGCTCACTAAATAAGGAGTGGATTTTACCTAATTTAGTGAGTCTTGCATAAATTTAAACCAATTGTAAAAAGTGTGTTGGAAAGGGTATACTAGAAAGTATATTGTTATCATTTCTCTACATGCAAGAAAGAGCATGCAGCAAACCGTAATAAACAGGCCTAAATGAATCCAATAGCAGTAACCCACTCTCTTCAAAGAATAGCATAGCAACGATGATATCAGAAACACTAAAAATGCAATCTTAACACATTTAGGCTCTAACTTATTGCTAAATATTCTTCATCGGTTTAAATTCATATTATTTGTGTTCCCCGTCTAGCTCAAGATATTCAAACTCACCTTCTTTGAACTGATTAAGTCTTTCACTCCTAGTTTTGGGGACATGATCGGCATGGCCAGTGGCAATAACAAGATAGTCATACTCAATCCGATGACCATCAGCCGTCAACACTTCGGTTTCGGTCACATTGACGGCACTGGACACAACAATGTTGCCATTGGTAAGGTAATCTCTATGGTTGATCACCGACCTCTCTGCAAAGGATGGCTCAACCATTGCCCTCAAACTTGCCCATGAAATCTCAAAATATTCCTTCCTGCATTCAATTGCCCTCAATCAGGAGAAAAAAACACACAATGACATGTTGACAACAACAACAACCATGTGCATGAAAAGTTAAATACTTCGATGTCAATGCCACTTCAACCCCCCAACATAATTCCCAACAGCAAACACTTTCAAAACCACACTCATCAACCTCAAAATTAAAACTTCAAAACTTAGGAAGTTCCAAAAGCGACAAAGATTCTAAAAATAAACAAGGGTAAATATAAAATGCCACTATGCCTTTATCGTTCTCTTTACCAACTAACGATGATGCAGCGAACTGCAACAGAATTATTTTTTTTAAAAAAAAAAAAGCATCTTCAACCCATTAACCTTAACGATTAAATACAAAGAAATAGGCGCTGAAATTAGAAAATTTCGAATTAAAAATTTCTGGTTTGAATAATTAAACATGAAAAAAGAAAAAAAAACAACCCTAGCTATAGGAATAGAGAAGAAAATTGAATTTACGGATCAATGAGGGTGACATGGGCATGGAATTGAAGAGATTTAGCGAGGATGGAACCGGCGACACCACCTCCTAGAATCACCACTCTCTTCCCATCTTGCTTTTCCATTGCGATTCTTCGCTTCCTTTGTTTGCAGAACACAGTTTCTATTGCAATTGTTATATTATTTGTTTATTTAAAAGAAATAATAATATCAAACACAGTTGGGGCATAGTTGGATACTTGAATTGGCTGGCAGAACCGCGGGACAACGCCCATGATGCTTGCTTTTCTATTTGAATAAAAAAAGATTATTTGAGTCAAAAGTTTTTTTTTTTAATTCTTAATAAAATTACTCAACATTTTACACACCGTAAATTGATATTATTAAATTTAAAGTATTTTTAAAAAATATACTATATAATTTTTTTAATTTAATAACTTTAAAAAATATTTTAAATATTAATTAAAAATTCTATTAAGTGTATTAAATAAAAAATTTAATATTTTAAAAGTAAAAAAATAAATCAAAATTATGTTTGAACCAAAAAATTTAAATTTTTAATGTAAAAGAAGATGTACTACGTATTAAAGAGAGAATAATACATCTTAGAAACATCCATGTTTAAGAATGAAAAAAAAATCATATTAATATATAGAGGTAAATTATAATGTTATAATATTTTGATTTGTTTTTTATTTATATCTATAATATTTTTTTAACGATGATTATTAAAATATAATTCATTAAATATTTTGATTTTTAGAATTTATTAAAAACATATGAATTCGGTAAACATTTGTTTTGTACAACTGTCATGTTAATTATAATTTTTGAAGGTATTTTTGGTTTACTTTTATTAATAACATAAAATTACTATATGATTTTGCTTTTATTTTTAATATTTATTTAAAAAACAACAAAAATGATTTTAAAAAACCTAAATAAGTAAAGAAGACTTGTTATTTACACCCAAAAAAGGCTATTTTTCACATGAGCAATTTAAAAACAGACTGCTCACAAATGCTTTCAATTAAGAATTGACGATTTAATTACTTAATGAGTCAGTCAATTACTTCTAGAGCTGACGATAGTTATTTGATTATTTGAACACATATGCTAACTTACAGCACATACTTAACCAGTAAGCTTAGTGTAAACTAGACATAAATTCCCACTATTTAAATTTGTGGTTTAACATAAATAGTTAAGTGGTTAAATTAATTTGATGACATGTCTTTAAAGTTTGTGAAAAATGTTTACATGCAAGAAACATTTCTCATGCAAAAATTAGCACCAATGTATGTTAACAAAACCGTAGATTTTGCTTCTTCTTTTCTGGTTCATTCTGCAGGCTTTATTTGTGTTAATAACTTGTATCTTTTTAGTTTAAAGTCTAAAAATAGTGCTGAATTTTTGGGTCAGACCTGATCATTTGGACTAATCAATTCCTGTGTATTTTCTAAATTATTCAAGTTTAATCAAGTTTTAAATTATTCCAACTGGGCCATTAATTTTTATCATTAGAAGGAGCTTTTTTGTGTTGATAACAGCATGGAAGACTTTAAAACAATTTTCTCTTCTTTCACAAAAACCTTTTGCCGTCTTGCAGGATAAACTTTGTAACCATTCTGAAATAGAAATAATGTTGGTTTTCCAAAGCTCAAACTCTGCTATTTTTGGGTCAAGGAAGCCTTCAAGGCCTTAAGCATTCCAACCCGAAGCCCAATTACTACAAATACCACACTCGAATCTTTCAAGACTAGTTTTGTTCCCAAATTTGTATGCGTTCATCAATCTTTAACTTTAACTGTCATTAACCAGTAAAACAATGAGTCAACACGTTAAATAACCGAGTTCACCTTTAAAAATAAAAAGTCGAACTGTTTATCATCTCTTTCACTGTGAAAATTTTCTCCCAACATAAAAAAATTGATCACACAAAAATGAAAAAGAAATAAAAGAAGCAAACTTTAATACTTGTATAGTACATAGTATTTTTCTTATCTGATTGATTTGAGACAAGAGAAGACGACTTACTAATACACCTCTTAATTTTTTAATATTATAAAATAATATTTTTAGCAAGTGACTCTTCACCTCATAAAAAAAACACATGTAACACTTTACTAATCCGACACAATGAAGATGTTCCAACTCATCGTTCCCTCCAAAAAGATTTTTCCTTCAGATGACTTTCTAAGGAAAATAACACAAACACAAGAGATGCATTTTAAAATGACAGGTATGACACGTGAAAGAAATTAAAGAGCTCAGCTTGAAATCAATAATGATGAGGCGCCATTATATCTGCATCACGATGGACAGAGTATCATTGCTTTCACATAAAATAACTTATATATATATATATATATATATATATATATACACGAGAAAAGATTTTTTTACAACATTGTAAATTTAAAAACTCTTACACTTAATCTGAATTTTTTATTTAATTTAAATTTAGCGACCAGTAAAGTAATAAATTATAACCCGTTAGATTTAAATTAAATGAAAAGTTTAGATTGGGAGTAAGAGTTTTCAAACTTACACTGGTATAAAATAATAATGTCCCTATATATATATGTGGTATCAGAGCCTGATGGAGAAGTAGGAATATAATTGTTGATTATTTATAATTTAATCTTCTAGATCTGGATTTTATGTTACTATTCTGTTATTGTTACTTTTCTGTTTTTGTATAGTTCTTTATTTCATGAAATACTTTTACTGGAAGTACAACAGTTTTTATTTCTTTTGAATGGAGCTGCAGCAGTAAGACCCGTGTGGATGAAGGGCAGTAAAGCTGATTTGTCGATACTGTATTCAAAAGAAATTAAGAACATAAGAAGCTGGTAACTATAGTAAAAGAATTTATGTTTTTGTAAAAAAAAAATACTACAAATAACCAGATCTAGTTGAGAAAATTATAAATGATTAATTGATATATTTCTATGGAACCAAATGAAGGTAATGAACTAGATTTATTTTATAATGTCTCATCTCCTTCACTCATTCTAGCTCCTCCTCATCCTCTCTTACTAAAAACACACTCTCCAATGACCAGGAGAAACAATCTCTTGAAATTATATCCAAACACAATCTCTTTGACGAAGAAGTTCGTTTCGAAGAGATCAATCAAAGTATGGATGACTGAACTATTCCAGAAATCCCTCAGGATACTTTATACGTTCCTGAAGAACATTCCAAGAAAAACAGCTCTAATTACATAATTAAAACTGTTGAAAACAATATCCCTTTAAGAAAAGACATAGAAGAAGAATTTTATCTCTTGTCTAAATCCTCCATTAATGACCATAAAAGAAAATATAAATATATTCATATAGGATGTGTCCAAGTAGCTATCAAACCTTTGATAGATATGGGTATAGATGTTATCATCTTAATGTGTCTTAGAGACGTTAGACACAACAAATTTGAAGATTCTCTCATAGGAATAGTTGAAACCAGTCTAGGTCAAGGACTAATTTATTTCAACTGTTTTTCTAACAAAACGGTAAGTCTTATGGATGTTCACATCCTAGACTCTCTTTTTCTCAATATTTGCTTTCATGGTTTAAACATGAAAGAGGGATCTATTCTCGTAGTTCTAATCTATAGGATTCAATACAAAGTCATGAATTCATGTGCTTCCAGAGTCCTCCTTAAATCACAGAAAAATGAGACTACTTTGTTTATTATTGATATGACAAAGGCTAACGTCTCTTTACCAAGAATCACCAAATGGGACAAGGTTACTCTTCCTGAGAAGTAGGTTATGGATAAGGCTGCACCTTGCATTCCTAAATCTGCTCCTCAAATCCAGGACATTTCTCAGTCTAATTCTGGGAAGGTCGAAATAACTTTTGATAGTAGAAACTTTTTTTCCTCTAGGATTGATACTTACAGCAATCGATCTGATTTTGTTTCTGTGAGGAGATCTTTCTCTTCCAGATCTCAAACGTTTAGATCTAAAATTCTCAGGTCTATTAATCATGATCCTTCCATAAACTTACAAGGTTTAAAGACTTCTTCTAGAATTCCTAGAAATATTTATCAATCTATTGACAAAGAAGAAGAAGAAAATCAGAGTATCCAATCTCCAACTTATTCCTCCCTTAATAAGTCTTATGATATTGTCTCATAAATTCATTATAGATAAGGAATCTCTTAGAAAATATTTCTATTCTGAGGATTGGAAACCTCAAAGAGAGTGATTCTTTCATAATTACAAGAGAAAAGATAGATCTGATATCCAAGAGAAGTTTTATAAATTTCTCAAAAAAGTTAAACAAAATATTCTATTTTTTTATTGGTTTCATGCTTACACCATTCAAAATAATATTAATTATCCCTGGCAAGAGGATGTTGTTACTATTTCCTCTGCTAATGTCATTTCTTGGCAGATTAAAATGGACAAATAGTCCATAGTGACTTGCCACCTTCAACTCAATATTAGTTGTCAAATCTTAAAAACAAAAATGGTAATCATGTTATTGCTACCCCTTTCAAAACTAAAAATCCTTATGAGTCTATTACTCCTAGTGATATCCAAGGTCTAATGGAATAGGCCCATTATACCAATAAATACTTGCAGGTGTTAGGAAATAAAATCTCTGCTAGTTTTACTAAACCTAAAGAAGAAGAAACATTATCTTCTTCGCAGACTCCTTTAAAAAAACCTCTCTTCAAACCTTTCAAGAAAAATGTCAAAGTTAAACAGAAAATCTTAGAGCTTAGGTAAAGAGAAAAATCTAAAGCTCTTGAGGACAATAAAAATGAGCTTATCAGTAAGATTAATAGTATGCTTACTACTGTCCCTGATACACCTCAGACCTCTGAAGAATCTAGCGCTAGAATTAAGACTAGATCTTTTACCAAAACTGTCAATACTATTTTTAAAGCTAATTCAGAACAAGATTCTGAAACAAATTCTGTCTTGGCTATCAATCCAGTTTATACCAACAGTAAAAATTGAAAAAACCCTTCCAAACTTTATTATAATAGAGCTACTGCTCCAGATTTAGTTTTAGAAGAAAGTCTTGATTATCTCATTCAAAGTTTTAATTCTAATGAAATCTATATGTAGAATATTGATGGTCTTTCTGAGTATAATATAATCTCTAAACTCCAACACATGGCTGTTGT